ATTTTAGCAAAGTGTACATTGTACACTTTGTTTTTCTGGGCAAGTGTACAACAGAATGTAAATCAAAAGTAGCAGATGCTCCGTACATTTTGTTTCTGCTTGGTACACTTGCCATTGGAAACACTGTCTGTTAGTCAGTTCTACAAGGTATATTTTATAAATTGACACATTACATTGATTGGTTAGGAAAAAAACAATGGATTCTTTTATTTTTTCTTCCGACATTCTTATTTTCCGGTAGTCGTCCCAACAAATGATATACTGATTAATGGTCGATATCGAAATGTTCGATTTGAATAAGTTTGTAGAATAGGATTTCTATATTCGTCCGATAGTTGTTATTAAAATATCTTTTCAATTAAATATATTTGTTGTTTTAACAATCATTTTTCGATATGTTAACAGTAAAATAATCAACTAAATCAGGTAAATATCGTTTTACCATCATCTATAACACCAATAGGATATTGAGCACGTTGATTTGTTTCACCATAAACAAGATTAAAAAAAAATTAAGAAATGAATATTTTCATTTGATAAACGTAGAAATTGATTATAATATGTAGGTATAAGAGTTGTACCACCATTTGGATGTTCTTCTGTATTTGAAAGAGTTTGAAATAATTGTCAATGATCATAATAACTATTTGTTAATGATAAATCTATATATGGTGAGAATTATGTTAATATACGATAACATTCTATTTGACTTGTTCTTCTCTGACATAAATAAACGTTTTCAATCATTTGGACAATTAAGATCAATTGTTTGTCTTTATTGTTCATATATTTGTTTTGTTTGTGTACTATTTTCACAAAATGGTTGATCAATAAAATCTCTATATGTTGATTTATCTGATTTAATTTAAAAATCTGTTTGAATTGATTTATGATATATTTCAATAATATAATATCTTGTTTTACATTCATTTGTTATTTGTTCTTTTTCTAATGATCATCTATAGAAATATTTATATTCATTATTTAATATATTATATGTTTATGTTGATTTTGTTTGAAGTTCTCTACTTAAATGACGTTTTATAGTTGATCAACGATATTGATTAATTGGTTGAGATTTTTCTTTTAAACGTGATGATCAACGAGTTTGAACAAGTCTGTTTTAAGATTCTTTAAAAGACAAAGACAAAGAATTTAAATAGAAATTTTTGTCGTTTAGGATTAGAATAATTATTGAATAAAAAAAAACTTTAGGTCATGAATAAGGGAGGACTCGTTAAACAAACTTTCTCTCTCTATTATCTAATAGTAAAAACTGATGCTCTAGATTTCTTCTATTCATTCTTCAATTCATATAATAAGGTAGAAATTAGCACTTACTCATACAGACACGTTAGAAACGACTCATTATAGACATATTATCAGAGAATCTATCCAACTATTAACCCTTTGAGTACGGGCGACGCAAATTCGCGTCCTAAGATTTTTGGAGGTGAATAACTTGGAAAAAACACGATCTGTTGAGTATTTCCATTGAGGATAAAGTTGGATGTGAGTGTATGCTATTATTTTTCTTTGACACCTACACCCTCACACTCCACATCCACACACCACTCACACCAACAAACACATCCCATACCCATAGTTAAATTGAATTCGGTCAAACCATTTGTTGAAGTCGAACACCATTGGGTAGGATGCCTTTTCTTTTGAACAGATTCTTTTCGTTGATAATGATTTGTTGAGAAAAGTCGTGGCTAAAATGAATTTTTTTCCAAATGAATAGGTGATAGAGGTATAAATACCTTTATTATCGTCCGTTAAATGTATTTTTCAATATTTATCAAAAGTATATTACTTTTATTTGATGAATAATAAGACGATATTCCTATATATATTTCATTCTATCGTCAATACAACTCTCTCAATACACATCTGCGAAATGATTTTAGTTTACTTTCAATCTTACTTAAAAGCAAATCGTTTTTGTATCTGTTGTATTTGGTTTATCTGTTATATTACCATTTAAGTTTTTATCAAGAAAATATTCAACAAGACGAATATGTCAATAAAAACAACAGTTTGATAGAATTAGATGAAATTTGGTGCATATATACTAGAACAGTTTACAGAAAGTCAAAGCTCTATAGCGTCTTCTATCATTGAAATATAAAGTTAATAATATAATTTTCTGTGATGGTCGGATAATGTTGACCGGCACTGTATATGTCGTAGAGAAGTGACATTACTCGACGAAATTATAAATTCGTCAGACAAAATTGACTGAGTTATATTGTCGTCAGACAAAATAATTAGAAGTTCGTCAATTTTGTCTAACGAAGTTATAATTTCGTCGAGCAACATATATATATATATGACATAAATAAGCAGAAGATTAGAATAAAAGAGTGAATAGCAAAATCGAAGTATATCTAATAGTGATATATTATAATAAACGTTTTTATCTCATCCTGTATTTATTTGATCTAAGTACGGTTTGTTTTGCTTATAAAAAAATGAATAACTAATGTTTTCTTGTGTTTAGGTTATATAAACGTTTGCTATTATTGAAAGTTATTGTGAAAAACAAATGTAAGTTTTTATTGAAAAATTTCACAATATGAATATGATTTTTTTGTTCATATTAAAATTGTATTTTTAAATGAAATGAAGTCGATTTTATAATTAGTTAAAATCTATCCCACTAGGACTTTTTGCTACTTGTTTACAATTTAAAGCATCATTTATTGTTCCCTATGTAAATGAAGAATTAATTATTCATTATTTTTATAGATAACAATGACGGATAGGTTTAAATTTCTTGACATTCTTTTACATGCACATCGAAACAAGTACGAACATCCAAGAGAAAAATTGCTCGTTTTGGTTCATTGGACTTTTTTAAGTCGAAATTTTCAAATTGTGAATAACAACGAAGTAAAAATCAATTGTTTTTTTTTCAGTTGATTAACTTTTTTGTTTTAGTATAATAAAATTATGGACGAGATAAAAAGTGAAAATGATTCAACAGATATTTATGGTCTTTCATATGAATTTCTCATGCGTATAGTAAGAATTAGTCTTTTTTTTTCAGTTGATTAACTTTTATGTTTTAGTTTCAAGTAACTATCGATTGGATAAAAAATGAAACGAATTCAATCGATATTGATTATTTTGGAGAAAATTTCTTCATACATACCAAACAATATTTTGATAATGGAAATTTTTCTATTGAATTGAAGACGGTAAATATCAACTATTACATATTACCTTTAATTCTTTTCTTTTTCTAGGATGAATATAATCAATTAGGTTTGAAAATGCCTCTAAACAATTTTATTAATGAAAATGATGGGTAAGTTTAAAAGATATCTTATGGATGATTTATTGAAAACCAAAACAATTCTTTTGTTATGTAGATCTTTAAAAGATGTTGATGATTTCATAATACGTGTAGGAAATGAAATTTACGAACTTACACGACGAAAAAAACTGATGGATAAAGAAAGAATTACAACAAAAACAACATTAATCAATCAACAAAAGTAAGGGTAATGAATATCAGTATCTAATATTTCTTTTGTTTTTATTTTAGAAATCATAGTCAACTAGACAATTCATCATCATTTTCATCAAATAAATATTGTTTATCTTTAGTTAAAAAAAAAGAACTTAAAAAAATCAAATTAATTCATGATTAACTTTCTAATTAAATAAACACGTTATTATTAGATATGTAAATTAAATTTATTTTGAAATAAAATTCAATTTGGCTTAGGAAAGTGAAATAATAATAAGATCCTCATCTTATTTCTCGAATAATTCGATCACTTTATTTTTAAAGGATTTGTCTTTCAATTTTCGCCAGAAAAGCTCGTGTTTCTGTTTATCTCAAGATGATTGGTGTATGTTTGTCTTTTTTTTATAATAGATTACCAACAAATATAATATTTTTTCATCTTTATTATCATAACAAACAGAAGCAAATGAAAAATCTATTAATTCAACGTTGAAACAAAACAAACTAAATCAAAAGGAGCACAGAAAAAATTCATAAATCTAGAGCAATATTAGTTGATTAGTCATATGTATAAAATAATTCAGTATTAGACAGTACAGTCAATGAGCTAATTAAAATTACTTAATAGACAAATAAACTTTTGTAAATAAGAAAAAACTGAAAAAGAGAAACAAAAAGTTTTTAAAAACAAGTTTCGTCTTGTCCAAATGAAATAAAAATATTACAAAAGAATAATTTTGTATATTTGCAAAAATATACAATCTTGTTCCTATTAACCAAAACTATTGTTCCATATTGTTGAATTTATATATATGAAATGGCACTTATCATATTTCTTCATCGAAATCAATGATAATTGTTATGAATTATTGTTAATATTGTCATCTTAACATATTCATGTAATTTAGATAATGTCAAATCAACGAAGTCACATTAACCAAATATATACATTAACTCATTTTTTTTTCTTTTATATTTTTATCTCGTTGTTGTATTAAATTTTTTATTCTAGTATTTTTAGTTTTTAGTGCATGTTGTTCTTTATTTCCTCCTCTGTTGTGTGGGAATTCGATGTTTAAAAATTCTTTTTTTCTAATAATAAATTGATATCTGATGTATATTTCAAAATTACTTTTGAAACACAGTAGAAATATAAACGATTTCTATTTGTCAATGCGTAAAACTGGATGAACTCAAGTCAAATGTTTAACCACGAAGAACCATACCGTGAGAAGGTCATCCATTTTTTAACAGGTCCCTTTCGTTACTAAGGAAACCACCTTCTCAGTGATGCTCGTTAACAAAAAGTATTTTTGCTAGTAAAAAGAATATGCCAGAGTTGTTCCTTGTCTGACTCTAGTATGGAATAAATTAAAATCTTTCGGATTTATTCTTTGGAAAAAAAATAAAAATAGATATCACCAGTGAGAAATACATCTGCTATGAATTGGAAGAAAGAAACGGCTTTTAATCTCTCTGACAATATCCCATATAAATGTATAATTGTTGGCATATCAAGATGAACACACCACATTTATTTAGTCATTTTACTAGTTTACCTGATGAATTAATGTTGATTATTTTTAAGAGTTTAGATACGGTGGATGCATTTAGTTTTATTAATATCAATGAACGATTCAACAACATTTTATATGATGCTGAAATTATCAATCATTTACAGTTATTTAGATTGTCTGAAAACAAACGTATTGATCCATTAGATGATGAACTTATTAATCGATTTTGTTCACAAATCTTACCAGCAATTCATCATAAAATCGAATGGCTTGATCTTGAATCGTCATCAATTGAACGTATTCTTCTGGCAACAACTTATGATAATTTATTCGGTATTGGTTTATGGAATATGGATGCAATGAGAGCTTTATATCTTTTTTATAGTAAGAACTTATTTGATTAGTTATCTTTCTAATGCATTCTATTTATTTAGGTAAACATTCGGTATTACATCTGTTGAAAAAGCAAATCTCATCAATTAGTATAAAAATCAATGATCCACAAAGACCATTGATAGAGAATGCAGCAAAAAACATATTTCAATATGTATTAGCTATGTTTCCTAATTTGTATCGTTTAAGTTTTGAAACATCTATTTATTGTGAATATATGTCATTGGATCATTTAGCTCAAACTATTTGTTATTCGAATTTATTACAGTTATACGTTACTTTACAATACTTTGAAGATTGTTTGCATTTACTAGATGGTCATTTTAATCAACTGCATACGTTATACATTAATCTTTCAACTATTCATTCGGATCAAGTAATTTATAATGAAGTAAATTAATTTTTATTACAACGAATTGATGAAATTCTTTTATTTTGTAGAAAAAATTATATAATTTAAAATGTTTGTCTTTGACATGTGATGTAATTACAAACAAGTATGACGAGTTAATTGTACCACTTATACGTCGTATGTCAAATTTAGAACAACTTAGTTTATATCTTCAAATTAGTCATAACAGAACATTTATTGATGGCAATGATTTAAGAAAGAATATTATGGATTACTTATTACATTTGAAAAAATTTCGATGCAACATTTATTCATTTATTTTTATTGATAATGCAATTGATTTACCATCTAATGAAGATGTTCAATGTAATCTTGGAAATAATCAAATTATTTCTTATGTTAGTTATTTTCCTAAGAATAAAATGGGCTTATGTAATATATGTTCATATTCATCTTCAAAAACAATAAAATATTATTATTACATTACAAATAATTTTCCAGGTGGATTATTTAAATATGTACAACAAATTTTATTATATGATGAATATCCATTTGAACATGAATTTTTTATTCGAATTTCTGAATCATTTCCAATTATTACATATTTATCTTTAACTAATCCAACATCACAAAAGAAAAAACAATCACAACCAACAAATTTACCAATTGTTAAATTTAATCATTTGAATAAATTAAGTTTTGATGATGTCCATGATGATTATATCGAACAATTTTTATTTGATACAAAAACATATTTACCCAATAAGGTATTACTTGGTATAGAACTTGTTCAATTGCAAATAGTAACGAACAATTTTACAAGATTAGAAACACGAAATAATTGTGCAAAATTAGGTTATCAATATTAAGATGATGCATAAGATGTTCTAAAAAACATATAAAATATTGTGCTTGTAGAAAACATGTAGTAATTTTCTGTTATTTCTGTTTTAATTTGTTCAAGTATAAATAAATCTCAAGCTTGTTCATTTCTACTTAATTATCTTCTTGTTTAATTGAATCAACTTATATTTATTCTTTTTCGGTTAGTTCTTTGTTTCTGATTCATGTGTACTTGTATGGAAACCATGAAAGAATGATGGTAGTGTACCAATAAATAATTATGTTATTGAAAAATTTGATATAAAAAAGGCGCATGAGAAAAAGTATCAAGTTTTTATCGAATACCATTTTATGAAGTAATTGAACTTACAGAAGGTTCAGAATATAAATTTCGTGTATCAGCTAAAAATGAATATGAACAAAGTCAACCATTAGAAAGTGAAAAACCAATTAATGAAAAAAAAATCCATTTTTAGTATGTTATGTTTTTTTTTGTTTAAATTGATTTTGTTAAAAATTTTTCGTTATTGTTGAGCTGCATCACAAGCACTAGCTAATGTTGAAATTGCTAATCAAACAGAAAATTCTGTTGAATTAAAATGGAATAAACCAAAAATGATGGTGGTTTGAAGATAACTGCTTATCAAGTTGAAATGGAAAAATTAGATTATGATGAATCGGAAGTTGTTTATGATTATCCAATTAAAAGAAATGATTTTATTCTTGATAATCTTCAATCGGGAAAACCATATGAATTTCATGTTAAAGCAATTAATAAAGCTAGTGAAAGTGAACCAGGTTCAACTGCTGGTCGATTTAAAATAACTGAATATCCCGGTAAAAATTCTTTTAACTATTTGATTTTAATATTTTGAAATCTTTTTGCTTTAGATGGACGAGCACGAACTTTTGCTTAGAAAGTAGCTGACGCAACTGCACGAATTAATGGTGAAGCAGTATTTACAGTTGAATATGATGGTAATCCAGTACCAGAAGTTAAATGGTTTCGTAATGGTTTAGAATTCTCATCCGGTGGTCGTTATCGTATAAGTACAACCTGATGAATCAAAATCAACATTAACATTTAATAAAGCATGAAAAAGTGATGATAATTCAAAGATTACTTGTGCAATTTTCAATCCACTTGGAAAAGATACTTGCGAAACGACATTTCATGTTAAAAGTAAGACATCTAATCATTTAGGAAACTTTATGCCACTATTGTTACATTCGAGATGCAGTGACCCTGGACAAGTCACTAGTGGCTGTTAGGTTTGTAGTACTTGTACAATCGCATACTGACTACATTATAGCAGATACTGATCCTCGTAGTTAGATAGCTGCAGGTTATTCTAGATCCACGTAGACCTGGAGTTCTCTACTTGTGGTTAGCTAATGTGTATGAGGCGCGGAGTCAGACCAGCCTTCTGTCCAGAGGTATTGCTAATGATAGTTGTAGATTTTAAAACTGTCTTCTAACATCACGCGTATTCTTCTTCTTGCTAAATTTTTAATCGATAAAAATGTATTTGATTTTCATTTTAGCACCATCTAAACTCAATTGTGAATCAAAAAAAACAACGAGTTCCTTTGGGTAATACATTAAAAGTTAAAATCCCAATAATGGAAAAAGGTCTATTTACATTTAAAGTTAAAAAAAGATGATCAACCATTAACTGATAATGATCGAGTATATGTTCAAGAATATGATGATCATATTGTTGTTACAATGTCTAGTTTGCATTTTATCTTTCTAATCAATTTTTCGATATAATTTATTTTCGTTCAGAGGTTGCCCGAGATGATGCTGATAAATATGCAATTAATGTTGCAAATGATTCAGGTTCATGTAATATACCATTAAAAGTTAGTTATTGGTAAGATAAACTTTATCAGAAAAAAATCAAATTTTCAATATTCTTTTTTATCAAATAGCTTGATTACTTCCTCCAACGAGTCCTCTTGAAATATCCAATGTATCCAAAGATTGTGCAAGACTTTCATGGAAACCACCAAAAGATGAGGGTGGTAGTAAACTCATAGGTTATATTGTTGAAAGACGTGATACAGCAAAAGGACCTGATGCTTACGAGGGAACATCCCCAACTGTGAGTCTCCGTTTTGAATCTGGTATTTGCCATTTTATAGAGCTCAGTGAGTACAACATGTGATATTAAGGGTTCCTGCCCATAGTGGACTTTTAAGGAACTACGAGGTACTATAAAGGGTGTCCCACAATAACTAGGGATAAATTGTCTATGGTATTTTTCATACTTTATCTCGATGTTGAAGGCTGAAATTTTTCTCATATACAGGATGATTCACTTATATTTAGTAGTTTTCTTCAGTTCATTGTGTTTCTACAAAAGGTCAGAAATCTTATTATTTCTATATGATTAGATAGAGCATTGATTACTTTATTCAACGGTATAGCTTTCATTTGTTTTATCACATGTCTTGATTAAAAAATTAAAACTATTCTAAAACTAGCTAAAAAAAACTTTTGTAAACGTATACTGGACACAGGCNAAGGAAAAAATAAGGGGGGGGGGGGGGGTGGGGGGGGGGGGGGGGGTGTGGGTGTGGGTGGGTGTGGGGGTGGGTGGGGGTGGGGGTGGGTGTGGGTGCGTGGGTGTGGGTGTGGGTGTGTGGGTGGGTGTGGAGTGTGTATGTCGATGAGTCTATCAGAGTCACTACTACACCTACACGCCACACCCACACCCACCAAGCCACACCCACACCCAGCCACCCCCACCCCCCACACCCCCACCCACACCCACACCCTCACACCCACACCCACACCCTCACACCCACACCCACACCCAATTATAGTTAGCATAATCTATCGTGAAATATCTCGTATGAGGACAATCTAACGCATATCGATTAATACTTCGATTGATATGTAATATATTTAGACTTCACTCCAGTTTTACATAATCATTGAAAGACTATATACAAAAAAAAACTTTTGCGTTTTTCTTGAATTTGATTGTTTTCGGGAATAATCGAACTGCGAGAAAATTGTTTTTCAATATACTTCAATCTAGAGAGCTGTATTTTTTTTTATTGATAGATACATGTATAGTCTTTCAGATGAGGGAAAGGAATTTTCTAATTGGTGATCAATGTTAGAAAAATCCTGGGTTTTCCAGATTTTTGAGATTTCAGGCATCTTAAAAATGCAACAAAGTAAAAATTAAAAAAAAATTCTTTCACTCATTCGAAATAGTAATGAGGTCTTTTTGAAATAAAAGCAATTCAAACTCTACAGCTCGAAGTATATTAGGAAGAAAAATTTGTACGCGTAAAAGTCCTGTTTTATAGCTTGATCCCTGAAAGTCTTCTGAATGGTAAAGTATAGAGGCGTGAAATTTTTTTACTTAAGTACTTCCATGAGCCCAATATCTATGCAAAGTTTCATCAATATATCATGTATTCTGTCAAAGTTAGGTTTTTTTAAGGGACCCTTAAGTCAATAGTTCAAATGAGAGACAGAGTTAGAAACGGAAGCATTTTCGACGCATGAAGAGTATTCTATTTAAAAAAGAAATTACAATCCAAGACATTAGTGTACCGTTTACTGTTCTACATAAATGATCATCGCATGAAGTCCATCGGAAAGTTTTCTCGTTAATAAAACAATTACAAAAGCCATGTGAAGTAAGTTTAGATTTTCGAGCTGACAAATTTACGATCTTATATGAAATAATAGCTCTCAAATCTGCACTCGCTTTTCTTGACTATGGCGTGTAGACGAAGCTTGATCAAAAGTCTTTTTCTATTTAATGAAGAAGAACGTTTAACAAAATTTCGATTTCAATTTACACGATCATCTAAAACTGTTAAGAACTTCTCAAGAAATATTCTAATGCAATTAGAAGCTTTTAAGTCGACATTTTACTACGAAGAGTCCTTGATCAGGCTAGAAAAACATTTAAAGTCGAAGGCGATTTTTTTCTTCTATTTTTGCTGGTTATAAAACATGTAGAACGATTAAGTTTGTAGTCAAAAATTTTGCATGATTTCATTTAAACATATTCACGTCCCAGGATAAGGTATTTGAAAGAAGTATAACCTAGTGAGCGATCATGTATGGACGAGATCTATTTGAATAATTACGTGAAAAATTTCATGTCTGAATTCAACTATGTAGTTTCTCGGTACTGTACTTTCAGCGAACAATCTTTAGTCGAAACTGCAGTAAATCAAGAGAACAGTGAAACAACGAGATCTTTGAGTCGTTTCATGATCTCATGAAAGGACAGTTTCAGACGAAATACTAGCTGCCAATGTTCAGATCATCGAAGAATGTTTGTCCTCGTTGATTATTTTGCGACTTCTATGAATGATGTGTAGTTGAAAGATAAGTTGAGTTTATATAGAATAAGCTTTCTCTCACACGGCAGCTAAGATTTTGGGTTATTTTGCATGCACATACTGAACAGTCTATAGTTCATCACGAATTCGTTTCATTAGTCTCTTTGAATAATGTACCATTGCAAGGTTTTAAAGAAAAATGTGTTGAATAAAAAGCGACTGTATGTTAGCAAACATGTCTTGTCAAGTTGTCAGGTTCATCAACGTGAAGATCTCAAAAAACAAACCTTTAAAACACTTTTCTTTCGAAAATCTTATTGACAAAAGCCACTGTTTCTTAAATTCTAACGGGCAGATCTTTTCAGAATCTTGACTAATTACCTCACTTACTAATTCGAGTGACAAAACTCTTATGAAACCATGTTTTAATCGACGAAAATTTTTTTCCTAAACAGAAACATTGACTTGTAGCAGAGCTGGGCATTTCCATGGAAACAATTCAATTTGGGACCCCTAAAACTGTCCACGTAATTTGTGAATTACTAGGGAATTCACAAATTACGTGGACAGTTTTAGGGGTCCCAAATTGAATTGTTTCCATGGAAATGCCCAGCTCTGACTTGTAGTCATGCAGAAGATCGAAGAGCCATTTGATAATGGTAAACACAAATTGTTAAAGTGATCCAAATATGAGAAATGCTGTTGTTTTCACTAATTCGGATGTGATAAAAAAGAAAATCTTCGTTCATATTTTAAGATCTCTTCTTAAGTCTTCAATCGAATCGATCAAATTGGTTTTATCTCTCATTCCAAAGATTTCACTTCGAATCGCAAATCTTTCAAAACCTGAATTCAAACAATAATTCTCTTTACATAATACATTTGTCATCGAAAAGATAAGTGAATTCGTTCGTTTTTAGGATTGAGAAGAAAAATATTTGGCAAATATCAAAAAGAAAAAATTCTTTTGATAGAAACAAACAAGTTCCGTCTTTGTTTTTCTTCTACGAAATAAAATAAGGAATATTTCAGTTTTGAATCAAATAACGTTTTTGTGACTTTCAAATTAAAGAAAATGATCGTCGTTCGAAATAATTTTTCAAGACAACGTTGAAATCAATTGGAAGTAAATTGCTATTGGAGATTGATTCCTTTTAATTCAAAACTTTATCAAACTCTTCGAGTTGATCGATTTTCGAAGGTCGTCTATTGAAAGAAAGAAATTGATTTACGAAAAATCTTTGTATTTTCGTTTCAGTTCGACCTCTCATTCATCTTTCTATCAATGTCAAATGGAAACAGAACGAAGACACGGTTGCTGATAATCATGCTCAATACAGAGAATTCGGTCGCCTCTTTGAGCCTATCAGCATGGATATGGATGAAGATTGAACTCTCTCTATAGCTGATTATATGAATGACTGTAGCGTGGAATGGAACTGTGGTGCAACGAGTGGTCAAGTGTTGGCCGATGGAACTTCATGGGGAAGTAGATATGATCAGTTGAATGGACCAACATATGTGATTGTCGACCAAGAGGACAAGAGTCTCATCTTTTCTGATAAACAGAATCGACGAGTGATGCGATGGTCTCGTCAAAGTTGCACAAGTGAAGAAACGACGACTATCTCGAATATCGCTTGCAACAGATGGATGGTCTTCTCGAATATTTGTTGCACGGGATTAGCAATGGACGATCAGGCATGTCTTTACATCACTGACGGCGAAAATCATGTAGTCCGACGATATCAACTGGGAGAGAACAGTGATGGAACAGTAGTGGCAGGTGGCAATGGAGAAGAAGGTGGTCTCAATCAACTCAATTGTCCTAACGACATCTTTGTCGATCGAGATTATTCCGTGTATGTGTCGGATTGTGAAAATAATCGTGTCATGAAGTGGATGAAGGATGCACAAGAAGGAATTGTCGTGGCTGGAGGTCAAGGAGAAGGAGATGATTTGACACAATTGAGTTTTTCTTGCGGAGTAATGGTGGATTCGTTGGCGGCGGTCTATGTGGCAGATTCTAAAAATGATCCGGTGATGCGTTGGTGCAAGGGAGTGGCAAAGGGAAATGTTATTGCTGGTGGAAACGGCTCAGGAAAAGGGGCAAACCAGTTATCGGATCCCCGAAGTTTGTCATTTGATCGACAAGAAAATCTCTATGTGGCCGATAGGTTGAATCATCGAGTTCAGCGATTCAATATCGAACAGAGTTGATCTTTGTTGTTGAGAATAGATCTTGACAATAAAAGAAAATTTTATGATCATTTTCTGTATCTCGAAAGATGAAATTGAATAAAGGACTTTGATTGAAGAACTGAAGGTGGGTGTGGATGTGGACTGTAGGAGTGACGGTATCCAGAACTATTTATCCACAGCTACAGTTAAACCCAACCATATCCACACCCTGGCAAAGGTATTAAGATTGAAAACGAGGCGTACAAGTCTACCGCAACCGGATCAATTTTTTGGGCAGACACCAAAAATCCTCGGCCATTTCTGCTAAAGAAAAACGGAAATTTCCGGTTACTTGACGAGATCGAGTCCTCCTCTCTCATTCTCATAGTATAGTTAGTCTATATTCCACTGTTTCAATAATGAAAGTAATATTTTAAAGAATAATACTCTAGAAATGTTTGTTTTGGGTATTTTTAGCATTATTTTTGTTACATTTACTAATGAATCACTAGATATTTTAGTTCTTTTACAATCCTATTGGATTTATTTAAGTTTCCTGTATCCGAACGAATCATACTCAATTGTAAGGTAACTTTTTTTGGCTAGTAATTGTTTTTAGTTACTTTCAGTAGTTGATGGTGGTTAATCAGACTTATTCATGTGAAATAGAAGTATCAACTATGTACAATACAATGGAAAATAATTAGTATCCGATCTAATAGTTTGAGATAAGTAAAGGGAAACATTGTAGAGATATAACATATTATAGGAATGAATAATGTTTTGAGGATGATGAAAATCAGACTTTGAGATAACGTAGAAGTTTACTGGATATCGACGGTAGCTGTCCATAATTGCATTCATACGTATAGATAACAGTGAAATCGTTGAGGTTATCAAGAATCCGATAGGAAGGTTCTACCAGTAATTTGTGAAGAAATCGAATAATATTATTCGACATCGATCAAAGTTATTGAGATACGTGTCAGATATGTCCATGGTGGCGCCATAATAACTTCTCTTGTTAGTATGATTATTGATTAAAGATTCTCTTTATAAATGTAATATTTACTGAAAAAAATCTGTTATTACTAAAGAACGTCAAGATGAAGAAAAATATTATTTCGTATTTTTTAACATATAATGTCATATTAAAAATAATAATTACATCCAAAGACGAAATCTTAATATTTGTATATCAATTCGACTATTTGGAAAATGATTTTGAACCATTAAACAATAAGGTTCAATCTTTTCACGAGCAGTTTTATCATAAATATCCAAATAGACAAGTGTTTCTAATTGTTCAATTAATTAACAAAGATCACATTCAAAAACATTTACATATTAAGCTAAACAAAAAAACAAAAAGATTGATCTTTCATGATGAGTCAATTTCACTTACGTACTAATTGATTCCAATGCTCTGTAATATCTTTGCCATTGTCGAATCGAAAATGCATATCTTGTTGGTCTACAATCCAGTCGAACTTAAAATAATAGAAAAGCTTCTGAAGAAGATATATTTTTCTTTTTATTTTATGAAGAAAATAATGAATGACTTAACTAAGCCTTCAATTATCTTCTAATGAAATAGTCAGTATAAATTTAAGACTATATTTTATATCTCTTCTCTCTAGGCTACTGTAATCGAGATTCAAGTTTAATAATCAACAAGTATTCATTGGGAACGAAGCCAAGATTTTGTCAAGAAGGATGTACACTACAAGCAAATACTTTTAATTGTCTCATGATCTAAATCAATTAACATTCGGGTAGATGTTCGCCCGCTCAGAAAATACTCTCGTTGTTCTCTTAGTTGTCTCATAGGTTTAACTACAATAGCATATTGCATCTAATGAAGTTGATAATTTTAAAGCGGTTTAATCAACAGAAATTCTATATCTATCACTTGCATACAAAATATTTCTTCAAATAAAATTCAATATTGCAATACAACATCTTGAAAAATACGAGAATATTTAAGGGTGTGGGTGTGTGTTTGTGGGTGGGTTTTGCTGTGAGAGAAAAAGTGCCACACCCAACTTCCACACCCCACACCTACACCCACACCCACACCCCACCCACACAAACATCCCCATTCTAACCGTTCTATTTCGTAGTGCATCAGCCAGATATTCTTCTTCGTGGCCTCCAATTGGATTGGCATAGACATTGAGTGTGACAAGTGTCTGAATTAGCGCCCACGATGTGGGAGGGGATGGGGTGGACTAGCCCCCCACTTTTCGGGCTTGTCTGGGAAATTTGTCTCCTACCTATCTGGAAAATCTGGCAGAAAGTCTGATTTTCACTAGAATCTGGCAGAAAATCAGCAGTTTTCGCAAAATCTGTGAGAAAATATGCCGGTTTTGGCGAAATCTCTCAATTTATTCGTGATTTTGGCTGAATTTTGCCAGACAATCTGTGATGGACTTCTCAACAAGTATCTGCGAAAAAATTCAAAAATGTCTGCCGAATTTTTAGCCTCTTCCACTTTTCAAAACTATCGAGAGCCCTGGTCTGAATAAAAATATGGGATATAGATCTATGACAGAGAATGGGTCTCACCTTGTTATTTTCTAATGCATCAGCCAGCTCTATTGCTCCATCAGTTCCGATATCATTGAGGCTGAGATTTAATGTGATGAGCGTCTGAATGAAAACAAGGGACATGCATATACAACAGATGAAGAGAGAATGGCTTTCACCGTATTGTTTTTTATTGCATCAGCTAGATAATATGCTCCGTCGTTTTCAAGACAATTGAAGCTGAGATATAGTGTGGTGAGTGTCTGCATGAAAAAGCTAAAGATGTTTGTATGACATAATGAGTCTCACCATGTTATTTCGTAATGGATAAGGCAGATGTTTTGCTCCATGTTCTTCGATTTTATTGTTAGAAAGAGTGAGTTTGATGGGTGTCTGAATGAAAAAATAGCAGATGTGTATATGACAGGTAGAGAGTGAATCTCACCGTGTTAATTTGTAATCCATCAGCTAAATGTTTTACTCCATTATCTCCAATTCTATTGAAGGTCAGATCTAGTGTGGTGAGTGTCTAAATGAAAAAATAGGCAATGAATATCGGACAGATAATGAGTGAATGGCTCTCACCGCGTTATTTCGTAATGCATCAGCCAAATGTTGAGTTTAGAGCGCTGTGATGAAATGGCTATGCAGATTTAGTGTGGTTAGTGCCTAAATAAAAGAACAGCAAATGAATATATGACAGATAAAGAAGAAATGATTATAACCGTGTTGTTTAGTAATGCATCAGCCAGATGATCTACTCCATTGTCTTCAATTGAATCGTAGTCGACATCTAGTGTGACAAGTACCTGTATGAAAAACTAGCAGATGTATATATGGCAGACATGGGCAGAAGAGCTCTCACATTGTTATTTGGTACTGCATTAGCCAAATGTTGTGCTTCCAGAGCTCCGATGTGCTTGCTACGAAACCTGAATGTGGTGAGTGTCTGAGTGAAAAAAATAGCAGATGCGAATATGACGGATACAAAAGATATTGAATCTGATCGTGTTATTTCGTAATCTACCAATTAGATGTTGTGTTCCTTTGTTCAAGTTTTGATTTCCGTAGAGATCTCATGTGGTGACTGTCTGTACGTGAAAAAGTAAAATACCGATGAAGATATGAGTGGGATGAAAAGAAAATGATGATCAGTGTATTACTTCACCATAAATCATTCAGATGTTGAAGAAACAGTATTTTTGCTTTGTATTTTTTATCTACACTATATAAGTACTTGAGACAGTATATGTATGAGTTAAAAATAATTCTTTTGTATTCATGATATGGAAAATAAATATGAGTTGGAGAACTTTATATCATTGAAAACTGCCCAAAAATGAACAACACCTCAAGATTGAAAGAAAAATATATAAGAGAGGGAGTGACTTCGCATTTGAGGGTGACTGATTTGTTGTTCTTTAGTAAATTGCCCGTATTGTTGTATGCAATCCAGTTTCGAAAGTATGTCATTGAATTGGATGTTGGATAAAAGGAGATATGATTTCTTTTTTCGATTATTAGAAGTTGCTAGTGACAGTTCTTATCGTTCAGACCAAAAAATGAGGATATATATTACATGAGTTGCTGATATTGAGAGTAAGTATGGGATATGTTATCTAAGATTATCTGTCAATTGATCATGGTTTCAATATTTTTATCGAATAATACTCTATATATTGTCGTTTAACGCATGAGACATGAATTCAACGAGGGAAACAAATGATATAATATCCTAATGAAATAGAATGAATACACTATGTTACATTCTGGAGAAATAAGTATATGTACGCAATACAGGTTGAATTTCATGTTTACATGTTTCTATGAAAGAGATTCTGGCACTTTTATGTTAAAAATTTATCTATCGAACATGTAGAAATGAATTGAAATGGAAACTTGTCTTTCTAAACAAAGTCTCCTTATTCCAGTTCTTCTAAATACGACATCACAAATTAACAATGAGTATAGACCACAACATCCGCGAAAAATAAAAGATGGAAATCGAATAAAGCTAGGATATGAAATCTCAGATATGTATGCAAGTATTTAGTATAATCAATAAGAGAAAAATCAATTCTCATCTCAATAAGAATCTGATCTTTCTTCAACAAAAAAAAATATTGTCAAAGCAAACAAGGTATACGAATATATGGTATTCTGCAAAATACAATGTACCAGTACGTTCTTTTCAGATTCTTATGATGGACATTACTGTTTTGGACAAACATCTATCGAAACTAAAGCTTACGGGTATGACTCAAAAAAACTATAAATTAATGAAGTTAATTATTGTCTTGTGCGACATAAAATTGTACTCAATAAAGTCTGAATTGTCTCTAAAATTTCTCGCATGGTGACCAAACATTTTAAATAAATATATAAAAAAAATTTAATTTGCAATTTATAATTGTTATTCATTGTTAGAAATGATTTTGCAACAGTTAGCTATAAAATATAAATATAAATCATATTAATTCTAGCTTCTCGGCTCATTGAGCTTTCATATCTATAATCATCATCAGTAATTTGGTCTCATCTGAAATGAGCCGATTTTTCTACTTGATCTTGAACAAGGTGACAACTTCTAATTAGTATTATCCTCAATAGCTCTTTTTCTGCAGCTAAATTCAAAAACTATAATTCCTGTTGGTAAGATAATAAGAAGCTATTTTATAACTGAATCGAATAAATTGGGATGAACATAAAGAAAATGTGTGTGACCTCATGTTCTTTGCGTGTAGGTGTTTTTATTCTTAGACTTCAGGAGATACGTCACTGGATATTTTCTCTATGATTTAGTGATAATAATTTTTGTTTAAATTTTGTGTACACGTAAATATTCAATAAAATGTTCGTCGAGCATCATTGTTCAATTAAACATCCAGTTACATGACTCATTTAGAAGAAAAATGACTAAATTAAAAAAAAACGATATTTTAGATTTTTATCGATTTCATCTCTCGCTGTATCCATGGTCTATGTTCACAATGACGATATTGTTATTGAAATCTTTTTCAATAAATGGATCTCACAATTTAGCAAAGTATCAACAATAAAGCTTCATTATTCACTCAAAACATACAACGAAACATAGATTCAGATACTTCATGAAAAAGCTTTAGTAATTGGATAGAGTAAGGTATGCTATGTGTTTGTTTTTACTCAAATGAATTAATTTTCAATTTTTTTCCTCAATTTCGCAAAAGAAATTCGTTTGTTTTTTACCGAACATATTTTTCATGAATGTTTGTCCATATAATCACTGCAGCATAGAAAACACTTAAATGTAAATGTTTTCTAGGGTTATTCCATAGAGAAACTAAAGATCTAGGTAAAACTAATCAACATGTATGGTAAAATTTTCTCTCTATCGATTTGTCTTTATCCATAATTCAAGACGATTCAACTGTTTAATTGATTTTTAATAGCTATTTCCATCGGCTACTGTTTTCATCGAATATTCCTATGATTAGATATTCATCATATGAAATCTACTAAGGAATGAAAGTTCAAGAGAATATCCAAATGCGAATCAAATCGATTGATCAATACCAAACGAGTAATGTCAATTTATTTGTTATAACTACGACGTAGTTTGTTTTTTGATCGAGAATCCAAATCTATCTTTTATTTTATTATTTGAACATAAAGTTAGCAATAATCTCAATGATATTTTGTTGAAATCTTCATATAACTCATTGAGAAACAACTCAAAAATATAGTTTAACTATTTTGTTTATTTCCTCGAGACTAGAAACTCAATGAAAAACATGTATACTACTGTCAACGTTCTATAAGTATAAGCAAATCTGAAATCTATTTTCTAGGCAACAATGCATTTTTTCTAATTAGCTTAGAACGCTATACTTACAACATATTTTGTTATACCTCAAAAGTCTAAAAAAAAAACAAATTTCTTTTGATGTCAGAACTTTCGATAGAACTATGAAATGGAAATATATAATAAAGCATTAAGTTCGATTTGGAACGGCATATTTTAAAATATCGTGTCTCCTACTTCTATTCGAGAACACCAATTATCAAAATAACCTAAAAGAAATACTGGCAAAATTATCCAACCGCACTCATGATAGAAGAAGTTAATCATATTTGTAGAATCTCTTAAGAATTCTTCAAGTGAAATACTATCAATAAGAAGTACTTTCAATTCATTATAACTCACAGATTTATGATAATTTAAAGAAAAAGTGAAGAAACTGTAACGGTGCATGTTTTGTCCTTCCTTCTTTCATAAATTTCTCTCCTATTAGTATCGTCATTTCTCTGTTCATCGCGCCTTTTCTGTCTACTATTTGTTTTGTGTAGATCACATATTTATACGAATTTTTTTTTTTTTTTTTTTTTTTTTTTTTGCATATAAGTTTATTGTTCCACACAGGGTTAACAGACAAAGATACATAGAAAAAAGAAAAAAAAAAATGACAAAAAGAAAGCTTGTTTTTATTACAACTTATATTTATACGAATGCTTTGTATGTACGTAGAATTCGATACTATTGATATAAATAAGCAAAATAAAGCGTTATGTCATTGACTCAAACACTTCGATGTAAAATCGTCATATAAAGCATAGAATTTGGGATAATTAACAATAACTGAAAAAATAAGCAACTCAATGAAATCTTGTGAAATAGTTTGTAAAAAATGTCATGACTCCTGTTTTGACTGATATTCAGTGAATCTAAAAGACTATCATCAAACTAAGTTGTAATATTGCAGATAAAAAAATCGGACTTCATGAGAATATTGAATTTTACCTGATATCGAGGGTATGTATCTATGATCTGATCCAGTCGTGTGCAGACATTACGAATTGAGCATAAAATTATAAAATCATCAAGATTATCGAGAATGAGATACACTAGTTCAGTGGGTAATGATTAGATGGATGCTGAAATTTGTTCAGCCATAAATATCGTTTACTTTGAAATACTGTATTATTCTAGAATGAATATCGACTGAAATTATTTCTGATTTATATCGATGTTTTTATGTACTGCATGTGATGGATGTTCGTCATGATTTCTTTCTTTGTTTTTTTTTATACTGATATAAACGAAACAAATATATGTTACGAGTAATCCAATGAAAAAACAGCGAGTTTACAAAGGCAGGTATCGAGGGTGGGTGTGGGTGTACTGTAATCAAAAGGTGAAGAATCACAACTACACCCTTATGGACAATCCTTTAACATGAAATCCATCTTAAATAATAAAAGAAAAAGTTGACAATAACATCATTCTTGATTCTTATATCATTGAACATACAGACAATGTTTAATAAACGTTATCAATTCTCTCTATGGTAATATATAATTTACTTTTAACCGATTATACAAAGAGAAAATACTGATGACGCAAAATCTGTAAACTTAGTTTCAACATAAGAATATGAAAAGATAAAGAATACTGTAAATCTTTCTTATCTCAATGAAAATTTCGTTTTTATCTTTGTAAATCGGAACAAGTTCTTGAACTTGGACTGAAAAATAAATTCTTTCATTTGAACTTCTTATTTCATAAAAGAATATTTAGTTTGTTGATATGTGAGTGCAGGTCGCTCTCTGGGTGAGTGAAAACAAAACGCATATAAGCAACACAAAAATCCCAGCTACACCCGCATCTACAAGCATACCGATCCCGCCCCCCCCCCCCCATATCCTCACGATTTAAGTCGAAAAGTTGAACGAGGTAGTTAATTCAGTAATCGACAGGTCATAACATGACGGATGCACTATCACTAAACAAAGTTCTATTATGTCATTAAATTTTCTCTTTCATTTTCTAATTTTATTTTAATAGAATCAGAAAAAAATGCATACGAATCACATGTAAGGGTGTGGGTGTGTCGGTGTGGGCGTGCGGATAGAGAAAAGAGCCACATCCACACCAAGGTGTGTGGTAACTATCCCAAAAATCATTGGAAATTAATCGCTGACGTCGTCATCTATCGACGATGCTTCGCATTTGTACCAAGCAGCGACGACTGATAAACAATAATAAGAACACAATGCCTGTTCTTATGTATCCATGTTGAAAAAGAGCAGACAGAGACGTCATATATAGAAGAGTTAAAATCAAAAGAAGCCTCTTTCGTTGCACAAAACACAAGAAATGACATTGACTCGGAGTAATCTTTGTGAAGAAATCAGTAAGTTCAGAACTAGTTTCGAAAAACTACGCACTGAAATCAATGCAAAATTGAGCGAATGCAATAATTACATCGGATTGGCTGAGAAACTCTGTCGACAAGCTACACAAATGACCAACAATCGAGAAGACAAATTGGCCAATCTGTCAAACGAAGAAAAAGAATGGGAAGAAATCGATGTCGAACTTGCAACAATGTCGGTCACACGGAAAGTTAAACTTGATGTCGGAGGCGATATATATGCAACAAGTGTCGAGGTTTTGACACGTGAAAAGGACACTTTCTTCACGGCACTCTTCTCCAAACAATGGGAACTTCAATGCGATCCAATTGACACAAGTATTTTCATCGATCGTGATGGAAAACTATTCGCTCATATTCTTGCTTATATGAGAACGGATCAAGTTCCCGATGATACAATGAAAAATGAATTACTTCGACGCAGTCTCATCATCGAAGCCGAATACTTTCGTTTACATGATCTTCTGAAAATTCTGACGATTTTTCCGAATGGCACATTACTTGAACGTGAACAAAAGATGAAACTGAACGAATTCTATGGCAATCGTGATCAACGATGGCAACTCATCTACAAAGCATCACGTGATGGATTCGATACAAATGCATTTCATTCACGCTGCGATAACAAAGGACCGACAATGACTATTGTTCGATCGAACAACAATTATCTATTTGGTGGTTACACATCTGTCGACTGGACTTCGTCTGCTGGTATTGGCTATAAAAATGATACTACTGCATTCTTGTTCACTTTGACTAATCCTCACAATATTCCACCTACCAAATATCAGATCGATCCGACGAAGGCAGCAACAGCCGTTTGGTATGGCAGTGGCTGTGGACCCTGGTTTGGTGAATACGATCTTGGCTTGGTAGCCAACAGTAACTCGAACAACAGCAGCTACACTCAATTTCCTAGTTCATACATTGATACAAGTGGAAAGGGGAACAACACCTTCACTGGAGCTCGAAACTTCATCACATCCGACATCGAAGTATTTCAACTAGCTTGATACGCATTCTTGCGTGAATTTTTCATGTGCAATGATGAAAGAAATATTTACCACAGCGTCCATCGAATTTTTCTCACTTTGTTGCCTTTGAAGAGTCAATTGAGACAACAGAATGTTTTTCTTTCATACCATTGAAAAACTGTAACTCATGTGTTTTCCTTTGTGTTGCAATAAATGTAAGAATATGATCAATGGTGTGTAAACATAGTGTTGCTATCTCTTCTTCTTTTTCTTTTCTTTTTGTTATTTCTTATTTTCCCATATCGGCTGTCCTCTTTGATTCTTTTCGTTGATCATTAAAAACATTGTGCTTCATTCTGATGAAAGTTCTTTAAAACATTATTATATTTCTAACTCGATTGTGAACCATTACTAAAATGGCACAATAAATATATATTTGAAAAAAAAAAGACAACAGAATGTTTGATCGACAGATGTGATTCTGTTCCAATCAACAGAGATATCATTGACTGAATTGAGAAAGGTGTACCCAGTGGCCATTCGTAAGAAAGGGTGTGGAGTGTGGGTGTGGTTGACCCAAGAGATGACTCAAACCTACACACTTTCTATTTTCTGCTTTTTTGAAATAAATGATTGCTTCGTCATATTTACATAGACGAAAGAAAGCTGTGCCAATCTCATGATAGATATCGGTTGTAGATTCCTTCAAAAGTTTTTCTTTGTTCAAAATTGTTGTAACAGCAGCAACATCTCGGGATGCTGGCAAAATAAATTGTTTTACAATTTCTTCAAACTCATAGTTTTCAAACGTACAAATATTATGACAGTCGTTTATTTCGTAAATAAATACTTTTTGATTTGAATAGTTTTAACGTCGTTGAAAAGTATCGTCCACCGATCTTTTTCTTTCGATCAAATATACCAAAATGTTGCATTTGTTGTGCAATAGCCGATCCCATGTGCTGTATAACATATTCTATTCGCGATATATCACTATGAGCACTTTTGATTTCCTCAAGAAAGTTTAGTTCAATTTGCATTTTATCTAAGAGTTTCTGAATTTCCATTTCACTAACGGCCACGGCTGTTGTTTATTTTTGTTGGTCTTTTTGAAAGTGTTCCAGTTTCGCTTGTTCACGTTTACTATCATTTTTCTTCTGCAAAGTGTCACAAATTTGCGTTATTAATTTTACAGACTTAGGATTGTTCTTCTCGATAACGGCAGGATATTCATATTGCTCGGTAGCATCGAAAAATTTGTCATTTTCAGATAATTCATTATAATTTTTTTGATACATGTCTTATTTAAAAATTGTAACGTCTCCATTTCTTGCTCAGATTTGATGAACACTAATTAAAATCTTATTCATTTCACCTTTAATATCGCTGATCATTCTTGACTTGCTCGATTTCATCTCACTTGTACAATTCCTTGCAGCCTTTTTGAATTTTTTTGTCAACAATTTACAGATATTAGATAGTTCTGTTATAACAGCAGATTCATCTCGGAAATAGTTCGACGATTGTTGATGAATTGTTCGAAAAAGATTTTTCACTGTGTTATTTTGATTAAAATACTCTGAAATTGACTCTGGACATTCACATATGTAATGTGTGTGAATTACATGTATCAAATCATCTCGTAGATCGATAAACGGTTTCAATTCGGGTTTATGTAATTCGCCAAGCAATGTGCCGATAATTACTATTTTTCGAGCAAAATAATAGCGATCTAACTTATGTGTAAAATTAGTTTCTACACCATAGATTGTTTCTTGTTTTATACGATCGAACACTAATTTGAAGTAATATTTATCGACCAATTGTTGAAAACTATGTAATAGATCATCTTCCATTTCAACATTTTGAAGTTGTATTCTTTGTTCTAATTCAGGACGTTCAGAAATAATAGTATGATCTAACACAATAATATTCGATATCATAATTGGTAATAGTCCTTGTAGTGTATCAAATGCTTGTTGAACTTCAGAATCGTCAACTTCAATATTTTGTAGTACGTGCGCAAAACGAGATATTTGTTCAAAAGAAATGCTTTTGTGTTCTTCTTTATATTTTTGTCTCAGTCCATTTTCTCCATCGACTAAACGGCTAAGTGAAATGTAGCAATCGTTATTGGTGTGGGTGTGAGTGTGGGCGTGGGTGTGGGTTTCAAGGTGGGTGCAAGCATCGATGATTTCGGTTAGTCTCTTCTACCACAACCACACCCACCCACACCCACACCCACCCACACCCCACACCCACACCCTATGCGCATACTATCACCAATTGCTTCTTCTTTTTACGCAATCAAATGAGTTTTGCACCATTCGATTAAGAATACATTGCTATACTCAAAAAAAAGAAAAGTATCTATATGTTTATATAAAATTGCATAGGAAACAATAAAATGTATCATATTTTTGAAATATCTGTTCTTTTTAGGAGCATTGATTGTAAACACACCCACACCCACACCCACACCCACTTTTATTTTTTTCTAAGTACTTGTATTTTTTCTGGAGTCCGGATTTTCATCTAACAGTGACGCAGGTCTATTTTCGTAGATTTCATTATTTCTCAGTGAATTAGTTTCTTGCAACTGACAAGATAGATATAAGAAGAAATTGCTAAAATGTGTCATCTTGTGAGGACTCGATGCCAGGAGGAGATATTTTACAGATGAGAATAATCTTGTCAAAAGTATTATTCAACATTTTCTTATATTATTTACTGAGTAACTTCATTCAATCGAGAAATGTCGTCGTCATCGGATGCAGATCTTATTAGTGCGTTGATCAATGCTTCAGCACAACTGAAGCGTTACCTTCGAATTTTCATTCTAAGATTTAGAATCATCGGTAATACGATCGACATATTCGTTTTGTCACAAAAGCCATTTCGTACCAAGCCTTGCTCATGGCTGTTTCTTGCTTCATCAGTTTCTTATGGTATAGCTCTTCTAGCTGGTGTCGTTTCGCGACCATTGTCAACATGGGGTGCTAATCTAACAAATATAAATCCGTCTCTATGCAAAATTCGTGCGTTTACTCTATTTGCTGCAGTAACTGTATGTGCTTGGCTTATCGCTTTGGTTACAGTTGATCGATGGCTTTCGACGCACAGCAGTGCTAGCAAACGACAGATAAGTACATTAAAAAATGCTCAGATTGGTAGCATTATAGCTGTTATCTTCTCAATTATTGTTGCAGTGGAGCACTTTTATCGCTTTGAAACTAATTTAATCGATACACCATTCAAATGTTATGCTAGATCAGTACGGTGTGGTATTCTTACAGATTTACTTCTTTCAACAATGAGTATTCTGGTTCCATTGATATTAATGATTATTGTTGGTTCCTTGACTATCTCAAGTATGCACAATTCACATTCGCATTTACAGCTATTGAGTAAAGTGACTGATACTAGACTTGGTGATAACATAGGTACGAATAGTACCGGAACTACAAATCAATGGAAAAAAATGGATCGTCGTCTTTTGCTCTTGCTGTTTGTTCAAGTTGTGATTATTTTTCTATTTAATTTTCCACGTGCTATAAGCAAAATTTATTCATCGGCTATCAGAACTACGCTGAAAACTCCATTAGCAAGAACTATTGAAAATTCTATTTTTAATGTTTCTTCTTATTTTTTTCATGTCTTGTGGATTGCACTTCTATATTTATACATTCAGTGGAGGAAATGTATTTCGCAAAGCTATCTTAAGTATTCTTGAAAAATTAGGTCAGAAGATGAAATGTGGATGTGGCTGATTTTTTTCTTTTATTCAAATAAACTTTGATTTTGTAAACATATATTTGCTCCAAAGTCAGTTAACTGGAGAAAAGTTTGAGGGTATGGTGTGAATTTTTTTCAGACCAATATCCTTCGAAATTCTCTACTAGAGAAAGTCAGTATACATTTAACTCCTTGAAATTGGTTGCTGACATAACGGCAGAGAAAGAAAACTATACCATTTGTTACTATTTTTTTCAACTTTTGCTTTTGACAGTTCCACTTTTAAATTTTAACTGAAAAGAATTATATATTTTCCAAAACAGAACAAGTTTTTTTATTCAGGAGAAAATGATCTGCTATCAATTGCAGTTAATGATGTATATCAAAAGTAGTAAGTATAAATCTTGTAATCAATACTTCATTATAGATCGGTACACCGAAACACGAAAGAATATCTTGTTTGATAGAATACTGTTGTCATATATGCCTTATTTCAAAATTTAATTAAATTTTGCATCGATATTATGCAATAATATGAAATAAAATGTGATTGAATTAGCAAACACGACGTCATTGATCATGTATCAACTTGAATTGCGATAAAACATAAAAATCAAATAAGATATATTCAGCTATATATATATGGGTATTTCCATAGGAAGTCAATCACAAAAAAACCAAAGTATTCATAGATTTTTCTTTCATATCCAGTTTTGTAGAACTTTCCTTGCTGACTATTTTGGTAAAAAAGCTTTCCGAATAGGGTCCAGTAATGTAGATGTCATAGTCAAAGTAGTTAACATAGTGAAGTAGCTTAAAATGTAATTTTTCGTATGAAAAAAATACAAAAGTCGCTAGGCATATCCCGAAATAGCTACACTGCGAAGAAATTTGACATAGCAAGTTTTGCAGAGAAATATTTGCTTTAAAAAAACCTTCTTATCACTTTTTTTACACGAATTTCATCGGAAATATTCCATAGGAATTCATTCGTGCAATTCAGATTTAACCGAGAAACTGATTAGAAGGTTTTTTTTAGAGAAAATCTCTGATTCTGATTGATACCTTCTAACTCTTATGAAATGCTTTTACATGAGTTAAAAGCGCGCAAAGATGTTGTCTAGAAGCTTTCAACCCATGCGTTAGTCGAATAAACTGAAAATAAGTAATTCATGTTTTTCAGTTATCAAATTTGCTTAAGGTTATATGAATGTTTGCATCGAACTTGAAAACAAAACAGAAAATTAGTCAAAGAGATCGTAAAGATTCTGGTAATTTTATTTTTTTCCGATTTAGTTGATTCTCCTTGAAAAGAATCCATGTGAAAAACGAAATGCCTAATAAAACACTCTAATAAATGAATATTCACTTGTATTGAGCATGTTCTTATCTATTACTGATGATTCTATCTTTATTTATTTTATATTTTACTATTTTCAAAACTCACCATGTTAGATGTATAACTGTGACTGTCTACTGAATAAACACATCGATTTATTATCAACATGTCACATTTTTCGAGTTTTCTTGATCGAGAAACAAATCTAAAGGATATAAGTATTAATTTCACATGCTTTTCTTGTCCACAATAATTAACATTAAGTGCATGGGAAAACCAAGAATATAAAGTTAATAGAAAATCTTCTTTTTTTTCTTGTGTTGATCATTTTCCAATATTTAATGATAGAATTGTTACATTGATAATTATAATAGACTTTAAATTGAATACGAGTCATTAGAATCTATTATTGGGATAAGGGTAGAGGTCAAATTAATATTCATATATATTTACCAATAGTAACAGTCACATTCTTCACTCACATCCTTAAGAGAAAAACATAAAAGACATTTACATAAAAAAATGTGAACAAAAAACTTCATAGTTTCCTTGACTAAGCTACATTTACAAGGTCAGATTCCGTATAGATATTAATAAAAGAGGGTTTATATTGATATAATGTTTGTGATAACTAATATGCTTCAGAACTACTAAGAATATGATAAATGTAACCACCTGTAACTAACACTTGTCCATTAACCAATAAAGATGATGTGTGCTGACTTCGCTCATCATTCATACTGCCAATGATCGTCCAATTTCCTGTGGATAGATCATACAATTCAGCACTATCAACAGAAAACCCCCTGCTATTGAATCCACCAACAACCAACACTTTACCATCCGTTAATAATGTTGCTGTATGATAATATCGTCCGATATTCATACTACCAGTCACTGTCCAGATTCCTGTTAATGAATCATACAATTCAGAACTAGATAAAGAATCGCCTAATCCGCCAGCAACTAATACATTTCCATTTTTTAATACAGATGCTGTATGTTGAGATCGTGCATAATACATGGCGCTACTGTTTGTCCAAGTTTCTGTTGATGGGTCGTACAATTCCGAACTCTTTAGGTAACCATAAGAATTTCCGCCAGCAATTAATACTGTTCCATTTGCTAAAATGGATGCTGTATGGTAATATCGTGGAGTAGTCATACTAGCAGCTGCTGTCCAAGTTCCTGTTAATGGATCATACAACTGAGCATTATTTATAGTACCACTACCTTGTCCACCAGCGGCTAACACTTTTCCATTCGTTAATACGGATGCCGTGTAACGGCACCCTCCAAAAATCATCTGACCAGTGCTTGTCCAAGTTTCTGTTGATGGATCATACAATTCAGAACTATTTAAAAAATAAGTGTCAACTCCGCCGGCAACTAATACTTTTCCATTTGTTAGTACGGATGCTGTGTGTTGCGATCGTCTACAATTCATATCAGTAGTGCTTGTCCAAGTTCCTATTGATGGATCATAGAACTCAGTGCTATTTAGATAATCACCATAATATCCACCAGTAACTAATACTTTTCCATTTGCTAATAACGATGCTGTGTGATCATATCGTTGATTATTCATACTACCAGTGATTATCCAGGTTCTTGTTAATGAATCGTACAAATCAGTGGCATTCACATAACCACCATAATATCCACCAGTAATTAACACTGTTCCATTTGTCAATAGGCATACTGTTGAATCATACCGTTCACTATTCATACTGTCAATCGTTGTCCAAGTTCCTGTTGATGGCTTATATAACTCGACACTATTTAGTGAAAACCCTTTGGCATCACGTCCACCAGCAACTAATACTTTTCCACTTTTCAATACGGCTGTTTTATGGTAAGATCGTGCATAATTCATACTACTAGTCATTGTCCAAATTCCCGTCGATGGGTCATACAATTCAGCACTATTTTGAAAATTATTGCCAATTCCACCAGCAACTAACACTTTTCCATTTGTCAATACAGCTGCTGTATGGTAAGATCGTGCATAATTCATATTACCAGTGCTACTCCAATTTCCTTTTGTTGGATCATATAACTCAGTACTATTTAGATAGAGACTTGCATATCCACCTATAACTAATACTTGTCCAGTAGCTAACACGGATGCTGTGTGGCGAAATCGTGGATGTTTCAAACGACCAGTGCTCATCCAAGTTCCTGATAACGGATCATACAACTCAGCAATATAAACAGTAGCAACTCCTCCAGCTACCAGTACCTTTCCATTTGCTAATAAGGATGCTGTGTGTCCACGTCTTGCATAAATCATACTACCGATGCTTGTCCAAGTTCCTATGGATGGATCATACAATTCAGACATATTTGCATAATCATTACCAGTTCCACCAGTAACTAATACTTTCCCATCTGGTAATATAGATGCTGTGTGGTCATATCGACCATAATTCAAATTACCAGTCATAGTCCAAGTTCCTGTCAATGGATCATACAACTCACAAGTATTTAGAGCAGCGGCACCGTTGACACTGGTACCAAGTCCACCAGTAACTAATACGTTTCCATTTGCTAATACGGATGCTGTGTGGTAAACTCGTTCATAATTCATACTACCAATGTTAGTCCACCCTAAAACAAGTGTCTGAATATATTGAGCACAAAAAATAAATTGTATCTTGAACAAGTATTTTAAAATATTTTCAAGATGAAAATTGCTGCTAAATGTTAAGAACATTATCTTTTTTAACATGCTAGAGATTAGAAAAATCTTTCAAGTTATATTTAACAATGTCTTCTTTTGCGCTCTGAAAGACATGTGTTATGAAGCTCCTTTGTTGTAACATATCGTGTGATGTTGAGAGTAAATTATTGTATATTTATTTTGAATTCATGAATCTAATTATTAATCATATGAATCATTCTAGTTTTTAATTATATAGTACCTCATGTCACTCTAATGAACAAAAATGATAACTATTGACAAACATAAATTTAAATCTGGTTTGTTCGTAGTTATGGAGAACTATGAAATTTAGCTTATATATTATCCAAAATATGATTTGCAGTCATTCAAAAATCAGAGAAGTCTTCTTCGAACATCAGTTTATGAGTATAGAAAGTATAGTAAGACCCATAAGTGATCGCGTTCTCTATCGCTTGATTAACAATGTATTTTGCTCTATATTTTTGCTTTATTTGAAAGTAATTACTATTCACCCTTATCATCCGATACAAATAGAAATATTTGTATTCTTTCTCGGATTAGTTTATAACCTAATGAAAAAATGAATGCTTCCTATCAAAAAGATGGGAAATCTTCTTTTTATCAGGACACAACTATGGTCCTCAAATGTCAAATGCTGATATTTCACGATACCTGCATGTCAGTGAGTCAACCGTAAGATATTGACGCGAAAAGTATAAAACAACTGGTGATGTAGAAGTTCTACAAAACTCTGGTGGTAAACCGTGAACCACTGAAAAACAAGACATGGTTATTCAATCAATGGTAGCTCAGCATTCTACCGAATCTACAGGTCCAATTGCAGCTAGATTATCGAATAAAGGTATAAACATTAGTAAAACCACATTAAGAAGAAGATTTAAGGAAACTGATATAGAATCAATGAAACCAACTTCAAAACCATTGCTAACCAATGACCATATTAAAAAAAAAAGATTCGAATGGTCTATATAACAGCAAGATATGGACTGGGATCAAGTTGTTTGTACAGACGAAAATTCTTTTCATATGAAACAAGTGATAAAACGTATTTGGAAGAAACATGCTAAACATTATTGTTTCCAAAGTTAAGTATCCTGTCAAAGTTCATGTTTCGGAATGTTTTAGTCAATATGGATGTGGTAAACTGTTATTATTTAAACATACGTTGAACTCGAAGTTTATGTGCAAAATATACGAGAATGGACTTCTATCATTACCAAAAAGATGATTTAATTATACTTAATATTTCTCATTGGAAACTGTTAAAGCGCAATGATCCTAAACATATTTTCAAAATCAGTAACACATTTAAGGTCAAAAATGGTATTCAATCATTAGCATGGTCATCCCAATTTCTGGACTACAATCCAATTGAAAATGTTTCGGCTTTAATGAAGCTCAAAATAAACAAACAACCATCAAAATCAATTAATAAACCTTATTGGGAAAATAAAAAAACAATTGAAAAAAAATTATTTTTCTATTGAATTTGCGGAAAAAATAATTGTTTCGATGAAGAATCAAGCAGATTTGTTAATTGGAAGCAAATGGGATTATATTAATCATGAAGATGATGTTATCTACAATGTAGATTCTATAAATAAAATATAATAAAATTAATTTTTTCTTTTCGGCGTCTTTTAGATCATGTCCACTTATACGCTTACTGTATTTTAAAAAAACGCCTTTCCCAGGCGATTAGAAAGCATAGAACTTTTCAGCTATTGAATGATAATATCTGACTTTGCAATAAATTCTTCTAACACTGTTTCATGCAGTTTGTCCCACGAAAACTCAAGCGTTCTCTACGTTGTACGAAAGTGCTTTTATTTTCTAGAATTCCATGAATTATTTTTATGATGAAAGACATCATCTTTAACGAATTTTCCTCTTAAAATTATTGAATTTAGATCATCTCACTTTTTCAACTCTAGGTCGAAAAAAATTAATTCTAATTATATATTATTGTTCTTTAAAGTAAAATGCATTCTCTCATACATTAAGCAGTAATTTTCGTTTCTCGAAGAAACAATTTTCTTGCACAACATTAGGATCTAAGAAAAGAAAATAGTATAATGCTCAAACATAGTCCTTATTAACTGAAAGTTGCAGGCTATGCTTGAACATTTTCCCATTAAGTAGTTTTTCATAAAAGAAAGCTCTGGGAAAAGCAATTATCTGTCACTAAGCAGTGCTTCTGTTAGCATAATGATTGCCATATAACAACTTATGCTTTAATTGAGTGTCAATGTACTTAGAACAAATATTATCAAATGATAAGTAGTCCGATGAAACGAGTGAGTCCTTTTCTGAGGAATGTTTTTATAAAAAAAAATGCATTGTAAATTATGTAACTATTCATTACGGTTTATTCAAATATAGAATCAGGAGAACATCGGAACTTCTGACAGGATTCATAGATATGCAAAAAATCCATCCATTGGAGCTTTTTGGATACAGTAGAAAGACTTTGCAAGATTTGATTCATTAATAAGACAAACAGGGTACATATGTAGATATGAGTGATTCATGAAAAATATACCAGTATTAAGTTATATTTTAACTTACTTCCGCGAATTTACACTTGTTTTGTGGAATTCACAAAGATCTCTGAAAAAAATATCATGACTGTAAGTTTTAAATCAAGAGTTTTCGGCTCTCTACTCTTCACCTTCCTCTCCTGAGTCATAGCAACCTTGCTTGGGTGGAGGTAGTCGAGGTTATCAGGCAGATTTTCATAGCAATAGGGGGTGGGGACTAAGTCATAGGTTATTCAGTTGACTTCCATAGTAGCGCCTCATTATAGACAGAATAATTAATTAATTAGTAAAATAGTGAATTAACTAATCATATTTCAAATGTTGAATTTTTAATTTATTATTCAATATTTAAAATAATAATTTCTAATATTATATATTTTACAGAAGAATCACTAATATTATAATTAATATTTAATAAATATAATACTTAATATACTTAATACTTAAATCAACAATGGAGTTATGTCTTCTTATTAGTGTGATTTCCATGATATAGATATAATCACTAGGATGATTGAAGTTAAAATTGAAGATGTATATGAAAGTAACAATACTTTTGTTTTAAATATTACAAAGTAACACAAATGAAATAATTCAATAGAAAACTAATTATAAATGTGACGAATTTGAAGAAGATTAAATTTTGGAACGTGTCTATCAGTTATAAAAATAATTACGATTCTGACTAATTTATCGAATATTGTTTTTAATAATGTATTTTCAAACGTCTTACAATATCCCATAAATTTATAACAGTCAGACGTTGTAAGTTCCATATTTTGTCCCAAAAAGGGACTGCACTGATAAGTTTTGGTTTATTATTATTGTCATCCTGCTATAAAACTCATTTAATCCTTAATCGACGAAATGAAATCAACTATCTGTCTGAATCCTGATAAAGTAGGGTAACTCAGTACTATGTATTCAAAAAATTAAGTATAATTAGTGTGTCTCTACCTGATCTACAGAAATCTGTCAATAGTAATGGTAAGCATACTGCTTTTGGTAAACAGCATGAATTGATAATGCAGACAGACGTATTTGATTCACAATTATAAGTAACATTGTTGCATGGTTCCAAAATTGAACATAATAAACCTGGTGCACAATAACTCATATTGCTGACTGAGCGGTAATCGAAACATGGTGTTGATGAAGAATGACAGGTAGCAGTATTATTCAACTCTATACTACAGTGTTGTAAAGAACAATTTAATGTTGGTTCCCATCCAGAATGACCCGAAGAAGACCATGAAAACTGAATATTATGATCATTCTCATTGCAATAGTAATCGGAGACTGTTGTACTTTGACCTAAACTTATTTTATATTATGAAAAAATAAAATGAGAAGAAACAAATCAGCAAACCTTGTACATATAAGAAGAAAACACCAAAAAAAAGTACTGTAGTAAGCGACATCCTTTCTCTATAATAAATGAGCGAAGTAAACATTAAAAATTCGTTTTTCTTTTGACTTCATTGGTGACGTATTTTGCTGAAAAACAAATCGTGAATCGCAATAGTAGCAATTATACCTTTTTCTATAGAATCGATTCATTATGAAATAATTTCAATCCTTTTCTTGCCCATTATTTGATTTTCATCTTATGAATCATATTTACGTATACGCTTTCAACAACTAACAACATGTTTGAGATTTTTACCAGAATGCTAATTATATTCTTGAACAGAAGTGTCTGTGTGCACTCAGATAATATATAATTGTGGGTGTAGATGAAAATTAACAACAGCACCTACAATCAAACTCTCAGTACGAAAATGTGGAACATGATACATAGAACTACGCAACACTTCGCGAGCTTTCTTTTTAGATTCCTTGGAGTGATGTCTAGGAGGTGACGAATTTTTCAATTATCCAGAACTGTCTTTACTTTGAAACGAATTATCTCCATTTTCTCTTGTTATGTTACATTCACTATGAATAAGACAATGACAGAAAAGTAATTTGTGATTTATTTTTCTGTTCTGATTTAACAGAAATTATTGCGGTACATCTATATGAGAAATTATTTGAATTTCTTTTGACAACATGTACAACCAACTTTCCTGTATATGCTTCACGCTCCCCACAGGTGTCCATGAAGAGTGATTCGAATTTGTTTTTTCTTTTTCTATACCGTCATTTTTAATGCTTGTGTTTTGCCATTGACTTTGCTTTTTCTATTCAAGGACAAATTTGGCAAAACGTTGTCACATTATATTAACATATACTGCATGGCCCAGATCAATTTATTCAGATCTAAAACATCTAATTTAGATGTTTCATGTTTACAATTATAATAAAGGAAGTTCCTGAGCAGAACTAAAAATGACTCACATGATGCTTTTAAGTATCTGTTGAAATGCACATTAAGTTCTTTTTTGTATGCATATTGGATGATACAAAGTATTACATCGTAAAATACGCATGATTTTTATATCGTAGCGAAGCATTAACAATAAATAGTATAAAAACACTTTTCTTTTAGGATATACAATGTTGTTGTAAGTATGGACGTTAATAACAATTAGAGCAAAATCCACAGTCACGCTTTCCAACTGGTGAAGCCAATTTTACTAATAGGATACTAATTAGTATCTGGTAATACTTGGACAAATCAGTTAAAATCTCCGCTGAGGTTCCCGTTGGTCAAAATAATTTAGGTACGAAATTCTGAAAAAATGAATAATGCTAAGTTTCTACGTTGAATCAAAGGACAAGAGTGCTTTTTTTTAGTTCCTCCACTCCTCTCTAGACTGTAACATCGCTTGCTACAGATAATATGCAGACACCATATTGTCTATTGCACTCCTATGTCATATATACTATTTTATTTCTATGGCTTAAGATAAAGTGGGTGACATATACACACAGATAGGAAGTATTAAAGCACAAAAAACAACAAAATTATTTACTTATTTTTATGGACTTGATTCCATTCCTTCAAAACACAAATATTGTGGATGGAACAAAGCGGTGAAATATTACTAAATCGTGCTTGTATAACTTTTTTTTGTTTTGGTACTGTTGTCTCTATCTTAAAGAAGTTGCTTGTATTCGTACAGAAAATTTTGGTAAATATTTAAAAATAATGTTGAAAAAAATCCGAAGTTTATAAGATATTTTCGAAAAAAAAAATCAATTAAAAGGTGTCAATTACTAATTGTACTTTAATTTAATTTGATGTGATCTTTAGAGTCACCAAGAGACATTCTTTGATAATGTGATACTAGCTCTTTTCTATTTTGATACTTCTCATAATTGTTTGTTTTAATTTATTGCAATAATGATTCAGTTTTAATAATTGTGCAACAGTTACATGACCGTTTCATGAGCAATTAGCTTTGATGAAGCAAAACAGTTTCTAAATATTTTTTCAAAATTTTGTAAATTTCATGACTTTTCATCGTTTTAAATGCTATTGATAAATTATGTGCAAGTATCGGTGCATAATGAAAAATCAATTGGAAACTGGAACTGAAAACGAATCAAAGTATTCGATTTTTCGATTCGATTCCGTTTCGATGAATCGAATGACACCTTTGAAACACTACGTATGGAGAATCGATTTGTGATGCGTTTATTCGATGTTTTTAGTTTGGATTAGTATTCTATAAGCAATTATGACAAAAGAGAGGTCAAACACACAAACTAATTAAAATATATTCATCGACAATTTTCATGAATAATTGTGATCGAATCGTTTTATTACGGGTGTTGGTGGGTTGGTTTTGACTACCAAAACTGTCACATCCACCCATGAAGGACACATGCATCGGTTTGTTTTATTTTTCAGTTACCAAAGAGTCTAACATCCACATGTATATCATCAGTTTATGTATTTACATGTGCCACTTGATAAGAGAAAAAAAGAGAACGGAAACAGTTCGTCATCACGATATTTTATGATACCCACTCTAACTCTCACCATGATCCGAGATCACACTTCATCTCACAGGTACTGTCATCAGTCTACCTACTAATGTCTCAACCTGACTATTATTCTAGCGAGAAGACTTCATATTGAAAGTATTTTGTCTATGAAAAGTTACATGTTGTAAAATTTTTTTTCATTTTGTGCCATTTGGTTATAATATGTGTAAAAACTGATAAAAGAGATTTTATTGCACAGAATGAAATAGTCATAACGCAAACATTTGTTAGATTACGTATTATTTTGTTGGTTATATAATATATGTAGTACTTGGAAAGAAGGCAGAAAAACATTATCTGAAAGAAAATTCGAAAATCCATTTTTATAATTTATGACTTCATTAACAAAAACTCTTGAAGATGTGACTATTGTATGGCTTGATGTTGATCGGATTCATGAAAATAGAGATGATTTTTTTTATACGAAAACTTGTTTACGTCAATGTCATAGTTATATTGAAATATATAATGATGCAAGTAAGTGTATTGATGGTATAGCAGGAAATGAAAATGTCTTTCTTATTGTTTCTGCTTCAATATGCGAAACATTTATTCCACTGGTTTTTGAAAATAAGTATATCCTATTTATTTATGTTCTACATTCGAATAATAACTCTTGTGATACATTTCAGCTAAAAGATTGCTCAAAACTTCATGGAATATTCTCAAATAAAAATCAACTTATTGAAAAATTAAAACAAGATATCAAATCATATTTGAAGAGTTTGATACCAACATCTATAATTAATGAAAAATCTATCCGTACTTTAAACAAACAGTATACTATGTTTATGTGAACTCAATTGCTTATAGATGTTATAATTCAAATGCCTCAAACAAATCGTGGAAAAATGATGCTGTTAAATGATTGTCGTTTGGATTACATGATTGTACGAAAATTACGTCGTTCAGTAAAGATCTTTCTTTTTGGATGGAGTTGTACTGATATATTTAGTTCGAATTAAAAATCTATGGAAGCCAATAATCCCTTGAAGAAGTATTTTGTTATATGGCTCTTAAACATAATGAAGAGGGAAACGTTTGATATGACGTTTAAATCTATTAATATTTTGTCGATTGTATAATAGTTGATGTTATTTAAGTAGGGCTCATAAAGCAAATCAACTTGATAAGTACCAAATCACCAAGTAGTTCTCAAGCAATGTATAATAAACTTATTTCCATTTTGTAGAATGTCTTTTACCGTTTCGCTTCAAAATACTCAACTACTTTGTTAAAAAAAATTTTCATATATTTATTGATCGAAAAAAGTCTCATGAAAATATGAACATCAAAAATATATTCAAATCATGCATGCCGTTTTACAGATGTGAATAATACGTACAATTAATGCCTAGATTCAACGACCTCGTTCAACTTAATCATGAAAATGTATGAGAGATCGAATAAAATATGAACTACTGACTCAAGTTTCATTAATTTGACCGATAGAGCAGACTATGAGCTCTTACCACATTTTTCTTCTTTTCCCCGCCTTGATAGTAGTGCAGAAGTCGTAAACTTTAATCGAGTAGGGATTGCAGCCTTAGCAATCTCATGTACCTTAACCCTTTCTCGTTCCGTATCAACTCTTTTTCTTCCGCTAACTGTCAGAGTCGTCTTTCTCTGCCATTTTGTCACTGTTCTGCATCTTTCTGTTGCATTCTCAGGCATCACCAACCTCATCCTCCTTTTTAATTTGAAACAAGCATTAATACAAACTTAAGATACATAGGTTAGTCAATAAGTTCTCGGACTTTCAAATATTTATTCATAGAAAAAACATTTTACTAATCTTTTTACAGTAAATGTTCAAAGTAGTCCACACGATGTTCAGTACAAAGTTTCATCCTTTTAATCCACTCCTGGAATGTCTTTCGGTATTCTTGAATAGATATTAAATTAAGCTCGTTGGTTATTGCTTTAGCTAAACTTCTACCATCTGAATATGCATCAAGGCTGCGTTTCAGACAACCGAACAACCGAAGTCTGAAGGAGTACGATCAGGTGACTATGGTAGATGAGCCATAACTTTCATTTTTTCCTCTTGAGCATAATAAAGATTGAGAACAATATCTTGAATATGTGATTTCGCAATTTTATAATGCAAATTTATGCTACTTGTTTTTGATGATGTTTTTTGTTATGTAAATTTTTGACTTAAATTTTCAAGTATTTATCACGATAGTTTATATGATAACTGTGTCTGAGATGGTAGTAACATAATCAATACTAATATGTGGATCATCATTCACTAGNTAGGGGTTGACGAAAATCTTCGAAAATTTTGGACAGAAAGGAGGTATCGAGGAAAACTTTTTATCAGTTATGAAAGAGCAGATCACGGGCTATCTTCCCATGCATTTATCTCCATTTCGACTTTTTTGACGAAAATTGACTTTTTTTGAGTGGGGGAGGGGGCCCTCAAATACCTTTCATATGAATGTTCATGTGCCCAAAGTTCTAAATCAACACCATAATCATAAAACATTTTTTCTAATCCATATGTATGAATATATGGTAAACCTGAACGAGGTCGACTATCATAAAATGTACAATCATCTTGATTAGCATTTGAACAATACATTGGTTGATGACCCATTGTTATAATCCATGGATATTTTGTTCGATTTTCTGATGCTGTTGCCCATTTTAGATCTTGTTCAAGCCAACGATATTGATTTGATATTTGTGCAAAACCATATTCCCACCAAAAATAAACTTCAGTTGAAAAACTTATTATATGTGCTAAACCAAAATTATAACTATACCAAAGATTTTCACCATCACCATTTGATGGCATTGTAAAACGAGATTTATAATTTGAAAAATTACTATAGAAAATAATGAATTTTTACTTTTTTTTTTTTGTAAAAAGAAAAATATTTACTAGATACGTTCATGATTTCCAGGACAGACCATATATGGTACATATGCAGCTATTTCTTGTATTTGATTCATAAATTGATCACCAACACGACTCTAACAATAATACATAGGAAAATTAGATTTAAAAATAAATTCATTTTTAAAAACCTGATCACTATCCATATCTAAAAACAAATAATTAAATAAGAATTTATTGATTAAATTGAATTACCATAAGCAAAATCACCAACATGTAAAATAGCATCATAATAATCAAGTTGAGCTTCTTTTTGTAAACGTGCTAAACTCTGTGCATTAACAACACCTAAATCTCCATAAACAGCAAATAATTTTCTTTTTTCATTAGGTATTGTTCGAAATGAATATATTCCACTCCAACCATTTAAACTACCCACATGATAAACTAAATATCACATAAAAAAATAAAATAAAATTCCTACAGAATTACTTACTATAAACTGTATTCATTGTTAGATTTTTTAAAATAGCTCTATACATATATAATACACGATGTGCACTACTACCATCAATAAATTTTGAAATAGTAGCATTTTCTCTTAAAGTTAATTCTTCATTCCATAAACTGTATTCTACATAACTTTCATTTGCTAATGTTTGTGTACTCCAAGTAACAGCCATTTCATTCAAAATACCTTTTTTTTTTTTGGCAAAATAAAGAAATCAAATAACTATAGTAATAAAATCAAATTTATCATAGCAATAAAAAACAACAACCTGTATAGGATAAATGAATTTGTTCAGGTTGATAATTATCTCCAACTGTGTTTTTTACACCGTATAATATCAAGATAAAAATTAAATAGAACATATTTTCTAAAAAGTAGAAACTTGTAAACAAGATTTTTTTTAGATTTTATATAATTTTTTTTTTTTTTATCTCAATGATTTTTTTCTTTATTACAGGAGAAAAAAAAAAAGAAGATTTTTCTTTAATATTATTCTAAGCAGCACGTTTCCAGAATTTTTTCAATTCTTCTGGTTGTGGATCAGGATGTAGATTTGTTACAACACCAGTGCCAACTGTTTTATTTTCAGCATCACGTAATGTAAAACGAACACTTTTTTCCAAAACCTAAATACATATTTTTGTTTTTTTTTTTTTTTGTTAATTAAATAATCAAAATAAAATTTTCTCTATTTAAATACAAACCATTCGTTTGCTTGAATATAATGTCATTGTTATGTCTTCACCAGGCATAATCATTTCTCGACCTTCAGGTACAACACCTTTAACACCAATATCAAATGTTCGACAATACATTGTCAATACAAATTCTTTTGGAATTGGTTCTTCTCGACCACCTTCTTCTTTTGATAGGAAATAAGTCTAATAAAATGACAACAACAAAAAAAGCTTAGTAAATTTCGTTTTTCTCCAAGGTTTTATTTTACTTGACAATCAAATTTATTATACATTTTTAATGAACCAGGTTTACCAATAAATACACCTCGTCGTACATCTTCTTTTTGAACATTTTTTAATAAAATACCTAATTGATCACCTGGTTGAGCTTGATCAATCGTTTGATGAAACATTTCAAGACCTTCAATACAAAATATTATTATGTTGTTTTTATTTTGTAAATAAATATTTCTTTTTAAGTGTTTACCTCCAATAATGCCTTTACTAAGTTTATTATGTCCAACAACTTCAATTGAATCACCTTTTTTTGCAGTACCACGTTCAACACGTCCAGTAACAATTGTTCCTTTGTCTACGAAAAGTAAATCAACGACGTATGGATATGTATTCATTTATAAATTCTTTACTTGGTATTGAATAAACATGTTCAACAGGTAATAAAAATGGTTGATCAGCAGCTCTTGGTGGTACAGGAATGTATGTATCAACAGCTTCAAGTAATTTTAATACTGTTTCTTTACCTAATTTTGGATCTCGATCCTAAAATAAAATTTCTTAATTGACAAAAAAAAAAAAAATTGAAAATCTTATCAACAAACTTCAAGTGCACATAAAGCTGAACCTGGAATAATTGGTGTATTTTCACCATCAAAACCAATTTGTGTTAATAATTCACGTAATTCAAGTTCAACCTAAAAAAGATTTTAAACATCGTTTACTGATGACATGAGTCTTGTTTTGTGTAGACTTCTATCTTGAATTATTTTTACAAAACTATCGTGATTCTGCAGTATCTCATAAGCATCTGTCTTTTACGATTATTTTTTTCGTCGAAATTTTGATTAGTGAGCATTTAGATAACAAATATATTGACTGTGATGTTGCTTTCTAGTCAAACGAAATGTTGATACATAGATGAAAAATAGTACTATGCGAAATTGGCAAGACCACGCTAACGAATATTACATTGTACGGTTCGAGTATTCTTGAACGTCGATTATTCTTCGAAGTTATTCTTGAAGAAAATAAAAAGAAAACTTACTAATTCAATCATTTCTTTATCAGCTGCATCAGCTTTATTCATAAAAACAACAATTTTTTCAATGCCAATCTTTTAAATACAAAAAATACATAGATTTAATAAAGATGAAAATGATATATTCTATATTACTTGTTTAGCAAGAAGTAGATGTTCACGTGTTTGTGGCATGACACCATCTGTTGCAGCAACAACAAGAATAGCACCATCCATTTGTGATGAACCTGTAATCATATTCTAGAAAAAAAGAAAAAAGAAAAAAGAAAAAATTTAATTTTCAAATTCGTCTATATACTTTAATATAATCAGCATGACCAGGACAATCAACGTGACCATAATGTCGATTTGGTGTTGAATATTCAATATGTGCAGCATTTATTGTAATACCACGTTTTTTTTCTTCCGGTGCATTATCAATATCTTCATATTTTTTTATTTTAGCCAATTTTTTTTCACTCAAAACTATTTATTACAAATGAATAAAAATAAAATAAAGATTTCTTTTTTGTTTTGTATTATCATACTGCGTGTAATAGCAGCTGTAAGAGTTGTTTTTCCATGATCAACATGACCAATTGTTCCAATATTAATATGTGGTTTATCTCGTTTAAATGTTTTCTTTTCAATAACAACTTGAGCAAGACATCGACGAAAATATTTATTCACCATAGACATATCAGTGATTTGTTGCTTTAAATAAATATATATATTAAAATAAATTTCTACTGATTTCGGAACTTCTTACAGATACCAATGTTCATAAATAGTTATGCTAAGTTTATTAGTCGTCATTTGTAATTTTCGAAAAAAAAAGTCGAAACTTAATCAGGTCACTACAAAAAATGATCGATGGCAATCACTCGGTGACACGACAGTTGAGCTCCCGACAGTTGAGCCCGAAGTAAAGAAAAAAAGGATAAGCCCAAGAAAATATTTGGCTGTGGGTGTTGGGTGTGAGAGTGTGGGTGTGGGTGTGGGTGTGGGTGTGGGGTGTGAGAGTGTGGGTGTGGGTGTGGGTGTGGGTGTTGGGTGTGAGAGTGTGGGTGTGGGTGTGGGTGTGGGTGTGGGTGTCCTTCTTCCCTTTCCACACCCACACCCACATCCACACCCACACACCCACACCCACACCCTCAATAACATGTGTAGATGTCGCACACTTGTGTCTTCTATTTAAGACTAGTTGAATAAAATCATCCAATGCTTGTATTGTTTCTTTCATTAGTAATCAATTGAGGCTCAACTGTCGGGAGCTCAACTATCGGGAGCTCATCTGTCGGTGGGCTCAACTGTCGGTGGGCTCAACTGTCGGCTCTCAACTGTGGGGGGCTCAACTATCGGGGG